ATGCAGCCAGAGAGAAGGAGAAATGATTGCTTTTTTGGCCTTTATGGGTATAAAAGCAATCAATGTAAAAAAAAAAAAAAAAAATTCATCACCCCCCACAAGTAGTACAGTGTCACTATGGTGACACTGTACTGCTAGGGTGACAGTATGTTAAAAAAAAAAAAACATAAGTAATAATATAAAAAAATAAAATAAAAATGTAAAAAAAGTTTTTGAAAAATTATAATTTTTGGTTATAAACTAATTTGGGTTATTTTTTTTTTACTAAAAAGATAACTGAATACATTTTGGCCAAGATTTATGAAGAAAGAAAATTTATTTGCAAAATTTTATAAGAAAAACACTTTTTTTCAAAACTTTTGGACTTTTTCATTTATTACAGGCAAAGCAAGATAGTTCAAGCCGTGATTTGTCATAATTGTGATGATTATGGCTTACAGCTCATGAAATCCCCAAATCCACAATCTCAGAAAATGAGAATATTACATGCAATCAATAAAACAAGGATTGTACATAGAACAATATCGGACCTCTGAAAAGTATAAGCATGCATATGTACTCAGTACTTGGTTTGGGCCCCTTTTGCAGCAATTACTGCCTCAATGCACGGTGGCATGGAAGCTATCAGCCTGTGGCACTGCTGAGGTGTTATGGAAGACCAGGATGCTTCAATAGCGGCCTTCAGCTCTTCTGCATTGTTCGGTCTCATGTCTCTCATCTTTCTCTTGGCAATGCCCCATAGATTCTCTGGGGTTCAGGTCAGGCGAGTTTGCTGGCCAATCAAGCACAGTAATCCCACGGTCATTGAACCAGGTTTTGGTGCTTTTGGCAGTGTGAGCAGGTGCCAAGTCCTGCTGGAAAATGAAGTCAGCATCCCCATAAAGCTCATCTGTGGAAGGAAGAATGAAGTGCTCCACAATCTCCAGGTAGATGGCTGCGTTGACCCTGGACGTAATGAAGCACAGTGGACCAACACCAGCAGATGACATGGCTCCCCAAATCAACACAGACTGTGGAAACTTCACACTGGACTTCAAGCATCTTGCAGTGTGTGCCTCTCCATTCTTCCTCCATACTCGGGGTCCTTGGGCCTCTCCATTCTTCCTCCATACTCGGGGTCCTTGTGCCTCTCCATTCTTCCTCCATACTCTGGGTCCTTGGTTTCCAAATGAGATGCAAAAGTTGCTCTCATCAGAAAAGAGGACTTTGGACCACTGAGCAACAGACCAGGTCTGTTTTTCTTTAGCCCAGATAAGACGCTTCTGACGTTGTTTGTTGTTCAGGAGCGCTTGACAAGAGGAATACGACATTTGAAGCCCATGTCCAGGATCTGTCTGTGTGTGGTGTCTCTTGATGCACTGACTCCAGCCTCAGACCACTCCTTGTGAAAGTCCCCAACACTTTTGAATGGCCTTTTCCTGACAATCTTCTCCAGGCTGCGGTCATCCCTGCTGCTTGTGCACCTTTTTCTTCCACACTTTTCCCTTCCACATAACTTTCTATTAATGTGCTTTGATACAGCACTTTGGGAACATCCAACTTCTTTTGCAATTACCTTTTGAGGCTTTCCCTCCTTATGGAGGGTGTCAATGATGGTTTTCTGCACAACTGTCAGGTCAGCAGTCTTTCCCATGATTGTGATTCCTACTGAACCAGCCTGAGAGACCATTTAAAGGCTCAGGACCCCTTTGCAGGTGTTATGGCTTAATTAGCTGATTAGAGTGGGACACTTTGAGCCGAGAATATTGCACCTTTTCACAATATTCTCATTTTCTGAGATTGTGGATTTGGGGTTTTCATGAGCTGTAAGCCATAATCATCACAATGATGACAAATCTAACTCTTGCTTTGCATGTAATGAGTCTATCTCATATATTAGTTACACCTTTTAAGTTGCATTACTGAAATAAATGAACTTTTGCACCATATTCTAATTTTTTTGAGTTTCACCTTTTATATAATACTGTATGAACTTTGTTTTTGAGCGGTATCTATTTTTATACATTCTTTACAGTAACTTCACTTATGTTGAGAAAAACATTCCCCTCTGGGAGATCTATGTACATTGCAGGGATTCTTGTTTTTTTTTTTAGAATGTTTTTATTGTTGTTAAACACATTATACAAAAAACAATACAATACTAACACAGATTAATAATCATAACAAATTTCATTTACTTTCCCCCCTCCCACTCCCCACCCCCCATACTCCCCTTCCCATTCTCTTCTTATTACACTAATACTCACTCTTCACTAATTAAAACACCCTCTATTCACCCCATTCCACCCTCTCCGCATTCCCTTTTCCCTCTTATTCCATCAATTCAGCGAATCTCCGTGTAGTCCTAAATTCACACCGCCTTTTCCACTTTTTCATTAATTTCTCCACTTCATCTTCTCCACTATGGTATAGCTCTTCTTTCCTATAAATATATTCTACCCTCTTTATCCAGTCTTTGACTTTAGGTGATTCCTGGGCCTTACAAATTGTAGGGATCAATCCTGTTGCTGCATTCATTAAATCAAACACAATTATATTCAAATATTATTTCACTGTGAGATCGGTGATCGGTACCATGAAATAAACACACACATGGGTCTATTCTTACTCTATCTCCCACTATTTCTGATATTTGTTGTACTATCATCTTGTATTTTGGGACATTCCCACCATATATGTACATTGCAGGGATTTAAACAAACTATGTTGCAGTTTCCTACCTGTATTTACTTTGAAGAAAAAGCTGTTTGTGTGCAGAGTGAATCTGAATGGGGGAGACTGGGGGTGAATGTATCACTATAACTTAGCTGATACATCTGTAGTGTTCTAATCAGAATAGTGGCAGGGTCTGCATCCCTTTAGAGATTAACCCTTTAGGAGTATCTCACCAACAATTAAATTCCTGTTGCAGGGATGCCTAAAATCTGACTTACCTTATTTTTCGTTCCATAAGACACACCTGACCATAAGACGCACCTAGATGTTAGAGGAGGAAAACAAGAAAAAAAAAATTCTGACCCAATGGACTGCAGACACAGTACAGGAAATGACCAGAGACTGCGACAAAGTACAGGAGATGACCAGAGACTGCGGACATAGTACAGGAGATGACCAGAGACTGCCAAAACAGTACAGGGGATGACCCGAGACTGTGGACAGGTACAGGGGATGACCAGAGACTGGGGGACACAGTACAGGAGATGACCAGAGACTGCAGAGTACTGACCAGGACTGCGGACATAGTACAGGAGATGACCAGAGACTGCGGACACAGTACAGGAGATGACCAGAGACTGCAGACACAGTACAGGGGATGACCAGAGACTGGGGACATAGTACAGGAGATGACCAGAGACTGCAGACACAGTACAGGAGATGACCAGAGACTGCAGACACAGTACAGGAGATGACCAGAGACTGGGGACTGCAGGACAGAGACTGCGGACACAGTACAGGAGATGACCAGAGACTGTGGACACAGTACAGGAGATGACAGAGACTGCAGACACAGTACAGGAGATGACCAGAGACTGCGAACATGTACAGGACATGACCAGAGACTGCACACAGTGAGGAGATGACCAGAGACTGCGGACACAGTACAGGAGATGACCAGAGACTGCGAACATAGTACAGGAGATGACCAGAGACTGTAGACACAGTACAGGAGATGACCAGAGACTGCGACACAGTACAGGAGATGACCAGAGACTGTAAACACAGTACAGGAGATGACCAGAGACTGCGACATAGTACAGGAGATGACCAGAGACTGCGGACACAGTACTGCAGGAGATGACTAGAGGCTGTAGAGGAGATACCAGAGACTGCGGACAGGAGATGACCAGAGACTGCGGACATAGTACAGGAGATGACCAGAGACTGCGGACACAGTACAGGAGATAGTACAGGGATGACCAGAGACTGCGGACATAGTACAGGGGATGACCAGAGACTGCGGACATAGTACAGGAGATGACCAGAGACTGTGGACCTTTGGGGAGGGGCGGGCGGGTACCCGAATTTGACAGGTACCCTCTCCCACTTCCGCTGAGTTGTCTTCCTACCCTCCCTCCCTGTAGTATTCTGGGACACGTGGCAGGTCCCACAAGACTACGGGTCCATTCACAAAGCGCAGCGCTTCTCGCAAGCTGTCACAGCCGGGTGCCCACACTGAAGATGCCGGCGCCAGGGAGAGAAGATGGCCGGTGAAAGCAGGACACCCCTGGGACCGAGGAACAGGTTCTTCTGCACAGTAGGGGCGGGCGGCCGGCCTGGTATTTTAATACGGCGGCGATGACAGGGGGAATAGCGGGCCGGCCGCTCTATATTCGCTCCATAAGATGCACAGACATTTCCCCCCATATTTTGGGGGGAAAAAGTACATCTTACGGAGCGAAAAGTAAGATATATCTTAATCCAGATGTCTGGGAAAATCAGTAAGCCAATCATACAAGCAGGAAATGAGATTTCTGGATGCGCTCCATACGCTACCTATGTACAGAACACCTCCAGGTAACCATATTGCATTGAATTGTACAGAAAATGGCAGCGCTGCAGATTGTTATTTACATTCAATGACAGTATGACTTGCATAGCAATTGTATATACAGGGTGAGCACAAAAACACTCCTTGATTTCAATTCTATATCTGTTGGAAATCGAGGGCCGCATTTGTGCTCACCCTGTACTATATATATGTAGAATGTTTTTTTTTGCTTATTTTCTTTCCCCTAACAGTGGATTTGCCCTTTAAAGTCTAACTCACTGGTTCTACTGCTACCTGTTCTTGACTTAGACATATTTGATGTACTAAATATTTTATATACTGTATATTGTGACATGTCAAGAATTTTATTCATGCAGACTAGTAACATTAATAAAAGATCAATATTTTGGCTAATATCACTCTTTGCTACTCTTTTCGCTGTTCTACCAAATTAAGGAAATGTTTATCACACACTTTGTATCTTCATTGCAGGGAGAACCCAGAACGGATCTTTGAAGGATTTTTTGAGGTTCTGTGCCCCATAAATTCTGATAAAGGTAATTTGTTACCCCTCTCTTTAATTACCTTCCTATACAACCACTGATGATAATGATGTGCTGTAACCTCTAGCAACCAATCAGTGACCTGAAATAATGTGCTGTAAGTAAGTGCTAATGATGCACAGTAACCTATAGCAACAAATCAGTGAGTGATAATGATGTGCAGGAACCTCTAGCAACCAATCAGTGAGTGATAATGATGTGCAGTAACCTCTAGCAACCAATCAGTGAGTGATAATGATGTGCAGTAACCTCTAGCAACCAATCAGTGAGTGGTATGGATGTACAGAAATCTCTAGCAACCAATCAGTGAGTGATAATGATGTGCAGTAACCTCTAGCAACCAATCAGTGAGTGATAATGATGTGCAGTAACCTCTAGCAACCAATCAGTGAGTGATAATGATGTGTAGTAACCTCTAGCAACCAATCAGTGAGTGGCATGGATGTACAGTAACCTCTAGCAACCAATCAGTAAGTGATAATGATGTGCAGTAACCTCTAGCAACCAATCAGTGAGTGATATTGATGTGCAGTAACCTCTAGCAACCAATCAGTGAGTGATAATGATGTGCAGTAACCTCTAGCAACCAATCAGTGAGTGATAATGATGTGCAGTAACCTCTAGCAACCAATCAGTGAGTGGTATGGATGTACAGTAATCTCTAGCAACCAATCAGTGAGTGATAATGATGTGCAGTAACTTCTAGCAACCAATCAGTGAGTGATAATGATGTGCAGTAACCTCTAGCAACCAATCAGTGAGTGATAATGATGTGTAGTAACCTCTAGCAACTAATCAGTGAGTGGCATGGATGTACAATAACCTCTAGCAACCAATCAGTGAGTGATAATGATGTGCAGCAACCTCTAGCAACCAATCAGTGAGTGATATTGATGTGCAGTAACCTCTAGCAACCAATCAGTGAGTGATAATGATGTGCAGTAACCTCTAGCAACCAATCAGTGAGTGATAATGATGTGCAGTAACCTCTAGCAACCAATCAGTGAGTGATAATGATGTGCAGTAACCTCTAGCAACCAATCAGTGAGTCATAGTGTGTGCTGTAACCTCTAGCCACCAGTCAGTGAGCAGTACTGATATGCTGTAATCTCCAGCAATCAGTTGCAATTGCTGCCTGATCTGCTGCAGTAAACTGATTGAGACTGGTTCCTATTTATTGTTTGTCTCAGAGCAGGTAAAGAGCAAAATTGCATGGGGGGGAGTGTCAAGAAAAACATTTGCCCAAGGTCCAATCATTATTAAAGGCGGCCCTGGGTACCCTGGGGGCCCTGCACTGCAATAACACCAGCATAACAACATTTCACAAATAAGTAAAGAGTCATAATCATTCTTCCTTTAGCTGAAACAAAGTGTATATCAGTATATCAAAGTGAAACGCTTTTCTAGAAGAGCTCAACATGAAGATTTCCATTGTATCTTCTGGTTCCTGTTCAATACCCAAGTGCTATGTCCAGGGCCGTATATAGGGTGGTACCACCAGTCCTTCTGTATGAGGCCCAGGCCCGCAGGGGTGAATCAGATGAATCAGATGTGGCCCGGGAGGGTGGGGCAATTACTGGAACCAATCCTCTGTATGGCTCTCTCTGCAGCAGCTGAAAGTTGTCTTCTCCTCTCCCTCTGCTGCAGAAAGAACCATACAGGGAATTGTTTCCAGTAATTGCCCCCCCCCCCCCCGCCACACCCATCACCATCCCAGTGCACTATATGTTTTTCCTGCTGCCCAGGCCCCACTCTGTGCCCCCACCCCTGCAGTGCTTCCAGCTTCCTTCTCCTCAACACCAGCAGCTGCAAGCATGCAATAGGATCCTTCATGATGGAGAGTGGAGAAAGGGTTCGGTAAATATGTCGGTATTGATCACTCACTGTGTTCATTCGCAACTAGTAAACTGGGGGGGGGGTTTTGGTGGGGCCCCTGCAAAGTTGGCTGTATGGGGCCCCATGGTTTCTAACAACAGCCCTGCCTATGTGGCTTAAAGCTTCTATCCAAAAGCTCAAAAAAGTACATGAGCTTCTTTGGGGCTGAATACTGTGTTTTTGGTCCCTAAAGACTTCAATTTGAGCATGTGAATAATGCACTTATAGTTGTGCTCAAAAGTTTGCACCCCCTGGCAGAAATCGTCACATTTTGACATTAATAGTGAATATATGACCAATCATGCCAAAAAACTGTCTTTTATTTAAGGATAGTGATCATATAAAGCCATTTATTATTACATAGTAGTTTGGCTTCTTTTAAAACATAATGATAACATAAATCACCCAAATGGGCCAGATCAAAAGTTTACATTCCCTGGAATGTTTGGCCTTGGTACAGACACACAACTAGTCAATGAGTTTGTTACATCTCACATGGATGCACTGAGCAGGCTAGATACTGAGCTGTGGGGAGCAGATAAGAACTGTCAAAAGACCTGTGCAACAAGGTATTGGAATTTTATAAAGATGGAAAAGGACATAAAAAGATATCCACAGCCTTGAATATGCCAATCAGTACTGTTCAATCACTTATTAAGAAGTGGATCATTCAGGGATCTCTTGATACCAAGGCAAGGTCAGGTAGACCAAAAAAGTTTGCAGCCACAACTGCCAGAAGAATTGTTTGGGATACAAGGAAAACGGACAGGCAACCTCAGGAGAAATACAGCCTGCTCTGGAAAAATAAGGTGTGGTTGTTTCAAGGAGCACAATACAATAATACTTGAACAAAAATTAGGTGCACGGTCGAGTTGCCAGAAAGAAGCTTTTGCTACACCAATGGCAAACAAAAAGCCTTTTTACAAAATGCCCAACAACACCTTGACACACCTAAAGAAGAGAGGAGAGAGAAGCCACCAATGTTCTGTGCAGGGAGAGGAGACACCAATGTTCTGTGCAGGGAGAGGAGACACCAATGTTCTGTGCAGGGAGAGGAGACACCAATGTTCTGTGCAGGGAGAGGAGACACCAATGTTCTGTGCAGGGAGAGGGGACACCAATGTTCTGTGCAGGGAGAGGAGACACCAATGTTCTGTGCAGGGAGAGGAGACACCAATGTTCTGTGCAGGGAGAGGAGACACCACCAATGCTCTGTGCAGGGAGAGGAGACACCAATGTTCTGTGCAGGGAGAGGAGACACCAATGTTCTGTGCACGGAGAGGGGACACCAATGTTCTTTGCAGGGAGAGGAGACAGCAATGTTCTGTGCAGGGAGAGGAGACAGCAATGTTCTGTGCAGGGAGAGGAGACACCAATGTTCTGTGCAGGGAGAGGGGACACCAATGTTCTGTGCAGAGAGAGGAGACACCAATTATCTGTGCAGGGAGAGGAGACACCAATTATCTGAGCAGGGAGAGGAGACACCAATTATCTGTGCAGGGAGAGGAGACACCAGTTTTCTGTGCAGGTAGAGGAGACACCAATTTTCTGTGCAGGTAGAGGAGACACCAATTTTCTGTGTAGAGAGAGGAAACAACAATTTTCTGTGTAGGGAGAGGAGACACCAATTTTCTGTGCAGGGAGAGGAGACACCAATTTTCTGTGTAGGGAGAGAAGACACCAATGTTCTGTGCAGGTAGAGGAGACACCAGTTTTCTGTGCAGGTAGAGGAGACACCAACTTTCTGTGCAGGGAGAGGAGACACCAATTGTCGGTGCAGGGAGAGGAGACGCCAACTTTCTGTGCAGGGAGAGGAGACACCAGTTTTCTTTGCAGGTAGAGGAGACACCAACTTTCTGTGCAGGGAGAGGAGACACCAACTTTCTGTGCAGGAAAAGGAGACACCAATTTTCTGTGCAGGTAAAGGAGACAAAAATTTTCTGTGCAGGGAGAGGAGACGCCAACTTTCTGTGCAGGGAGAGGAGACGCCAACTTTCTGTGCAGGGAGAGGAGACGCCAACTTTCTGTGCAGGGAGAGGAGACACCAACTTTCTGTGCAGGTAGTGGAGACACTAACTTTCTTTGCAGGGAGGCCAGACACCAATTTTCTGTGCAGGGAGACCAGACACCAATTTTCTGTGCAGATAGAGAAGACACCAACTTTCTGTGCAGATAGAGAAGACACCAACTTTCTGTGTGCAGATAGAGAAGACACCAACTTTCTGTGCAGATAGAGAAGACACCAACTTTTGTGCAGGGAGAGGAGACACCAAGTTCTGTGCAGGGAGAAAAGTGCACTTACAATATTTTCTGTGGAGGGAAAGGAGACACCAATGGTCTGTGGAGGAAGAGGAGACACCAATGGTCTGTGGAGGAAGAGGAGACACCAATGGTCTGTGGAGGAAGAGGAGACACCACATGCCGCCTGCATGCACCCAATCAGAGGCTACCAGAGCCAAAGACAATCCACAGCCAGGCAATGTCTTAAAGGGCTAGCATGCATGTTGCTTAGCATTCGAGCAAAGAAAGCATCACGACACAAGCTGTCAAGCACCCTGTGTTTCCTGATGCTTTACTAAGTCTCTGTTTTTGTGTAGTCCAGTGAACCTCTGTGACCCTTAACCACTTCCATGACTTCTAGCATTCCTGAATACCTGCTTGGGAATCCTGTGTAATCCATGTGTGCTTTCAGTGCTCCAGTGTGTTCTAAGTATTCCTGTGTTCCAGTGATCCTAGAGACTTTCCTGCAACTCTGCAATCGCAGGACACCAATTCTCTGAAAGAGTCTACTAGGGTTCTTGTGATTCCAGCAACCCTGTGTTCCCAGTGACTCTGCTGTATCACTGTGATCCAAGCACCCCAGTGCATTCAGAGACTCTGCCTTGTATTCCTGTATCTCCAATACACCTGTGATCCTAGAGACTCTCTACTGACTACCCATGCCTGCTTGGGTGAGTCAGAGGGCCACAACCTTGGAGCCGGCCTGTAGCAAACCATCATTCCATGCAGGGTGCTCTGGAAAAACTTCTTAGACTCTCGGGCCATGTTAGGGTTCTCGCTTCCATTGAAAATGCAGGCATTTAGAGTCTTGTTCCTCCTAAATCCTTGGAATATTTGGC